CAGAAGAAGTCGTTCAAAAGAAAAAGTTGACGGACGGACGCCGCAAAAACAAATTTTGAAAATTTATTAGGCGTTTCTTTTTCAAAAAGGGCCTCCAACTTCATTGCAAAATAAAGTAAATAAAATCACAGCAAAAGTACCAGAGAATCGGACACAGTGGATTGGTGTTGGACGTTCAGCAACATTTATCTTGGTCTGTAACACTGATGGTGCGGAACAGTCAGTTGGGTACTGTTTCTGGTTCATCTTCCTGTGTAATTAAACATATAACACCTGTACAAATAGAACACCTCTGTATAAAGGACACCAGAGAAACACCTCTAGATACAGGACACCTCAGTATAAACATTTCTCTAGGATATACCAGGTTTCGGTCTAAATATGATTTAAAATGAATTTATATATTTTACATCAATTATTTAACAAGTTATTTCAACTTATACTAATCACCATTGATGGCCTGGATGTTTCTGTGTTAGGAAAAACCCACATAATTATATTTTAATACCTGAAATTCTAACTGTTTCTTAGAATGGTAAACTGATCATTAGCTTATAAACCTACCCAACAACCGATCCAGATGAGGCTGATTTGGGTAGTCCTCTGCTGGCTGCTGAAGCACTACTGGAGAAGTCTGTCCTTGGTTTAAACATAGTGTTCCTACAATAGCACCACACTAATTAATTATTTATTAGGATTAATTAGGTCATTATGGACGCAGGCCTGTATCCTTTATGTCCATATTAACATTGTACAAAAACTAGAATTGTATGTTCTTCAGTGCAACGGCTACATATAGAATCACTGTTCATTTTATGTAACAAAACAGTTGGTTTTCCAGTGTTCGTCTGATAATATCTCAAATTATTATCAGTATCTGCATTAATAACACCTTGGGGTTAACTGTTCTATCAATTGACTACTCGGTAAATTGACTACTCGGTAGCTAAAGAAATGTTTCCTTCTATCCAGACCACTTCGCTTTTTAAACATCTTTTTTGAATGGTTCTACTTAAATTGTCCATCTCAAAAAAACGTTTTGTTACTCTACTGTCATATATATTGTTCACTATTTTAAAGCATTTATCATGTCTCCTCTGGTCCTGCGGTATTGTAGCGTTGGGAAATTTGTGAGACATATATATATCTACCTTGGAGAGGCAGTGTATCCCGAGGACTTGACGTTGGTTTTAAATGTCAGTGGCTGATCTTCAATACGTTGTCCAGGTTTCTTGTTTGGAGTTAGATAACCTAAAAATCATATAATTCACAAATTTAGCAATGTATACGTTATATGAAGTAACTGAATAATTTCTTTTGTTTCTTAATTTATTTTTGACCTTTCTCCAACTACAGTAACTAGAAATTAAGATTACAGTAATCAATCACACAAACCTTTTTGTTTCTTTGTCCTTGTGTCCTCTTTCTGTTTAAATACAAGCTCAGACCTAAGGGGTGAGTTTTCAGCTAATGCAACACTGTAAAATGTATCAGATAATAGTTATCTTAAAATCCTATAACATCATTTTAATATGCATGGGCAGGTCTTATAAAAATCATAAACTACATGTGTGGACACCTACTCTAGAATTTTTCATTGACATATTGCTCAAAGTATATATGTACCAAGTTATTATTGAAGTACATTTTACAAATAAATAATATCTCTATCACCAAAAGACTGTGACCAGTTGATGATTGAATGCCCATAGATAGTGACCAGTTGAT